CCATTCTTTGTCAAGGGATATAGAGGAGCCGCTATTTCAGTGAAACCCGGTATCCATAATCTATAGAATCCTGTGCTTCCCAAGAACTCTCTGAGTCCTCTGGCTGAGGTTGGTGGGGGGATAGAGGCTACAGTCTGTTTCCTGCTTTCTGTCAGCCAACGTTGCCCTCCCTTCAACCTATAGCCCAGATAGTTTACCTGTTGTAGGCAGATCTAGGCGTTCTTTGCTGAGGTTCGATATCCAAGTTCCCCCAGTCTGAGTAGAAGAGCCTCCGTACCTTGCAGACAGCCAGCTTCTGTCTCAGCTGCTAAGAGGAGGTCATCTACATATTGAAGAAGCATAATCTGTGGGCTTCTTACCCGAAAGTCAGCCAGATCACGGTGCAGAGCTTCATCAAACAGAGTAGGGGAATTTTTGAACCCCTGAGGGAGTCGTGTCCAAGTTAGTTGCCCCGATATTCCAGCTTCAGAGTCCTTCCATTTAAAAGCAAAAATGGGCTGGCTAGCCGGGCTCAATCTTAGGCAGAAAAATGCATCTTTCAGGTCAAGAACAGTATACCACCTGTGACTGGGAGGCAAAGTACTCAGGAGGTTGTAAGGATTTGGGACAGTAGGATGTATATCCTCTATCCTCTGATTGACTTCTCTTAAGTCTTGGACTGGTCAGTAGTCATTTGTTCCTGGCTTCTTTATGGGGAGCAGTGGGGTGTTCCAAGGGGACTGGCAGGGGCGAAGTATGCCTACTTGTAAAAGTCTCTGAATATGAGGTCTGATTCCTTCTCGGGCCTCTCTGCTCATAGGGTATTGTCTGATTGAGACCGGAGTTGCAGATGGTTTTAGTGTGACCACTATTGGAGGCTGATTGCATGCCAGTCCTGGGCCTCCTGTCTCAGCCCATGCTAAAGGGATTTTATTTAGCCAATCGGATATACCAGGAGTTTCTGCTATCGGTCCCTCATACAACCGATGTTCATCCTCCAGTCGCAGGGTTAATACCTGTAATGGAGCTCCATCTTTTCCTTGTACAGTGGCTCCCTTTTTAGTGAAGTGGATGTGGGCTCCTAACTTGGAGAGTAAATCTCCCCCAAGAAGGGGATGTGGACAGTCTGGGACCAGTAAGAACGAGTGAGAGACCTGTCCTGTACTGAGGTCCACTTTTCTTTCTGTAGTCCATCTATATGTCTTTCCTCCAGTAGCCCCTTGGACCCAGGCTGTTTTGGAACTCATGGGTTCCTTGGTTGTTGTCAAAACTGAGTGTAGAGCTCCTGTGTCTACCATGAAGGTAGTCAATTGCCCCCCCCCCTTTAGAGTTAACCTGGGCTCAGGGGGGAGCTCCTGGCCCCGACTCCCCTAGTCTCCTAGGGTCAGGACTGGGGTTGTCTTCTTTTGGAGTTTATTTAACTTTTTCGGGCATTCTCGAGCCCAATGTCCTCTCTCCTTGCAGTAAGCACATTGATCTTTGTCCACTCGGGGTCTTCTTTTGTCTCCCAGGTCCCTATCTGGTCCTGTTCCCTGAACTACTGTGGCCAAAATTCGACTCAACTCTTTGTTTCTCTTTTTCTCTCTCCTATCCTCTCTGGCTTCCTGTTCTTTTCTAATTCTGTCCTCTCTTTCCTCTAAGGTCTCTTGCTTATTGTAGATTTTCTCAGCTTCTCTTACTAAATCCTGTAAAGAGTACCCCTGAAGGCCCTCCAGCCATTGGAGCTTACCACAAATGTCAGGAGCTGATTGTCCTATAAAGGCCATAATAAGATCCGCCTGACACTCCTGGGCTGTGGGGTCAAAAGGGGTGTACATCCGATATCCCTCTATCAGACATTCTAAAAATCCTGCGGGAGTTTCATTTTCTCCCTGGGTTATAGCACGTACCTTTGCCAAATTGGTTGGGCACCTTCCAGCCCCTTTGAGACCTGCTAACAGAGTCTGGCGATAAAGACAGAGAAACT